AAGAATGTTCTGAGTTTTTTTTTAAATTTTACCATACATTTTACTAGTAATTACACTTAGTATACATTTTACTAATTGAATGTATGGTAAAATTTCAAAAAACTCTCATACAGTTCTTCAAAATGCCATGTTGTGGCATTTTGATTTTCAGGGTGAAGTGAAAATTCTCTCCGTGTGATTCAAAGCGAGAACAATTTATTTCTAGAAAAACGTTCTGCAATGGAGACGCTGCGGCGTCTGGCTTGTAAAAACAAAAGTATTTTACAATAAATATACTGGCGCGAGACGCTGCCGCGTCTTGATAGGCGCCATTGATAGCGAAATTTATTCGTTCAATAAACGCACGTACCGATAGATAGATCGTTTATAGAAACTTCGGACATGTATTTGCACGGAAACATATTTGTGCCAAGTGAAAGTCTCGCGAGATATGTATCGATTGTCAAGCCTTTTAAAATTTAATTCAAATTTAATTCTCTCTTTTGACGCACGGAAAAAAATAATTTTGCTGTGATAGCAAAATCGCCGTTGCTACTGCATATTCGTAGTAATAGCAATAAAATTTAGTTGATAGAACTAATTTTACGAATTATTCGTCATTATAGCAAAATCTATTTTGTTGCGAGAATAGAACAAAATTTGCTGAGTGTATTTGTAATTACAATCACATGAAGCTACTGAAGCAAAATAATATATTCTTAGCAAATACATTTGCTGTCACAACGAAATCTCGATACGCCTGATTCCCTCCTGAATAGATAGCACTAGTGCACATACTGCCGAGACGTGGCGACCGCGCGTCTTTCTCGTAAATAAAGATCGTCCCGTATTAGTATAAAAGGCGAGCCGATATGATGCGAGAGCGAGTTGTCTGGATCATGGATAGACCTCAATAACCTGAATATACTTTTGATGACTATGTGATTTAACACAATTTAACACAATTTAACAATTAGTTACAAAGTGAATTTTTTAATAGGAAGCCTATTGATACCCCACCCCATATTAAAAACTGTAAGGAGCAACAAAGGGCCCTGTCAGGGCTGCATGAACCCTACTAAAATTTCTGCTCGGGATAATTTGTTAATCCAGCAAATTGCGATTAGTATTCGTAACAAATCTTCTTGCTGTCCATATAATAACGAACAGATTTTGCTACAACAGCAAAAAATCTGCTGTGTCAGCAAATATTTTTCTCCGTGCGTGTGCATATTTGCACCTTCTCCACTCTCTCAAAGTCAATCAGTGCATTATCACGCTGAAAAAGAAATTTTCGCTACCGCAGCTACTCATGGTTTGCTAAAAACATTTTGCTACCACAATTGTATTCTCTAAAAATCAATCAGTGAGTTATCACTGATTTACAGTTTTAAGTGTACCACTGCAATTTTCAGTAGTTTACTCACATCTGCAAATCGGTGACTGTTCACTGTTTTCAGTGATAATTCACTGATTGACTTTTAGAGAGCAACTATAAATTTCTGAATCACAGCTAACGGTTTGCCGTCGCACCTAATAGGTACAATAGGCGCAGTAGCAAAATATTTAGCTCTCACAACTAAATATTATCGGCGCGCAGTTCTCGTTTCGAACACTGTCACGATAGGTGGCATTCGGGAATCAACATTAGACTGTTTACTGCGATGAATAATTTTCACATGCCTCGCTGGTCGAATTGGTTGAGACGCCGGCCTAGTGAGAGGGAGGTCCAGGTTCAAGCTGGCCGAGGTAATATTTTTCGCAATAAATTTAAAATATGAACTATTTAGACACTAACACTCTGTCACGGCTCTTAGTCCTTTATTCCTTCAAATTTGCGCTTATCACATTTGAGCATTGCGAATTTTATTAAACTGTTAAGTCTTAGCTGTCCATGTTTTACAACTGAAATTTAGTTGCCACACGCAGAGCTACGGCAGCAGTTTCCTTCCCGTGTGTAGCACTGAATAATTCAGTGCTTAATACTTAATCAGCGAATATCCACTGAGTGACTTTTCGAGGGCAGAGTCTTAATAAATGTTCTCAATATTTTTGTGCAAACACGTTCCTCGCATGAATATGCGTTCGCGGTAATTCCGCCGCTGCGATCATAGAGATTGATCAACGCTCTGATTGCGGGAGATATAATTTTGATTAGCCCTCCTCCCATTAAGACGCGAAAACGCGCTCCGCACCGACGGTGGCGGGCGGTGTTTGGATAATTGGGTGTTCGTATGTCACGCATAATGAATCCGTAAATTGGGGTTTGTGACTGCTATCATTTCGCGGTGCCCCGCTTCCAATTATGCCGCATACCCGAGCGGGGCTCGCACAATGCAAATAAGATTATTTACCATCGGCGATACAAAAATCCACGCCCCTCCGAAAAAGCTATCGGCGTTACGTCACGATAACGACAATTAAAGGCCCGAACACGCGAAAAGACTTGAGCAGTAAAACTTAAGGCTTAAGGGAAGTGACCAATGACTGTCGGAGAACGTAAGCAGACATTTTGAAACTTAAGCGAAGCCTTCAGTCTTACTGCTTCAGTTTTTTTCGCGTGTTCGGGCCTTAACAGCTGCCGTTGCTGCGGGGATCAGGAAACCATTAGCGCCATTAAGAGATACCCGGTGAGTAGGAAGACAATTAATCGACGCGATAAAAAGATCCTCGTCGTACTTAATCGTCGCATCGAAATCGAACGTGTCACGGTGGAAACTTTCGGCGAGATCGACGAGAATGTGAGGAAAAGTCTCACGTTTCGTCGAGCTGCGTACGCAAAGTGTTCCGGTGTTTCCTCCGTTTCTCTATCTCGCGAGCGGAAATTCTACCGCAGGAGTCTATAAAAAAAAACTATAAGGTGATTCATCGCTAATTGTCCATCGAGTGACTCGTCGTTTCTGGAAATCGATCGACTTCGCCGATCCGTCTTAACTATATCAGTCACCTACACTCTCTTTCTCTCCCAGTGGAATCGTTAATTTTTATAATATAATTTGTACAGTCGTGTTAACACTGTACTTCAGTCGATTTAAACGAGTTTTACTGAGGAATACCCGAAGGAGGACCGAAACGTTTATTAAAGAGAAATTTCGTTTCTAATTTGTGAGAACCGTCCTCTGTTCATTTGTGGCTCACATTGGCACTCTTCCCTTTCTACATATTTTCTTTTTGGGAGCCTTCACAACATTTTGGAATAATATACTTTGTGTCGCACAGTCTTATTCATCAATGCCCGGGCCTGCGTTCCTATCATCATTTTTCTCATCTATACAAATCACTGACAATGAGTTTCAGGCTGCATGTAACGTACCACCACAGACTTCTACAGAAGCCGCGCGAACCACAGCCTGAAGCCCATCGATCTATGCGCGGAAAAAAAATTTTCGCTACCGTACCTAATCATGGTTTGCTAAAGATATTTCGCTGCCATAACTACAAACTTCTAAACCACAGCCAACAGTCTGCTGTCGCGCCTAATACAATGGGCACAGTAGCAAAATATTTAGCAGCTAGAGATTAGCTGTTCCTAATTCACAACAAAAATTTAGCTGTCGCATACAGTTTCTAGCCACGACTGCTAACATTTTTCTTTCCGGTGTAGATGGGAAGAAAGATTGTGAAAATGTGAATCGCGGTAAAACTGAGGTCCAGGCATTAATGAATAAGACTGTGAATAATAAGTATAAACTAAAACGGGCCATCAAGGCCCGGTTTCATCAACGTTGTTTAACTTTACGCTTAGCTTGATTCGTTTGTTGTCTCTTTCCAGCTGTTACTTTAGACAGAGGGCCTGAGCGATAAACAGGAAAACGAATCGACTGCCGCGATTACAGATCCGCAGTATTCCCAAAAATCACAAGTTAATCCCGGGAGCGTCAAAGCAGCCGATAATTCAACGCCCGGTCGAGATTAAATGCCGAAGAGTCTCGGGGAAGGTCCGAGAAACCGTTTCGTCCGCAATCGCGGGTCCCAAAAGTGGGTCGTTAGTGACGAATCTTATCTGTCGCGCGAGAGACCGGTGAAATCGGGCAATCGGAGTTGACCGTTAAGGAATCCGAAAAGCCAATCGTGGTAACAACCGAGGCCGCGCGACACGTGGGCGGATCGCGGAAAACAATCCCGAGACGAGATCCGGCGTCGCGACGACGAGTTTCCCCTAATTAACCCTTTCACGATAATCGAGTTGTCTCTTGCTCCTCATTACTTATTGCCTTTTTAATGGAGCATCTCCCGAGGAACAGAAGGCGCGCGCGCGAGTGGGACTCACGCGTCCCAAATGTGGCACGACAGGGCTGATCTCTCGCACACGGCCTACCTATTGATTTTCCCGGGACCTATTGTTTTGGCACGTCGCGCGTTTAACCGAACGAAAACCGCCGGAGCGCGGATATCAATAAGAAGGCGACCGCCCATGTCCCCGCGCGCGCGAATCTCTTGCTCCGCGAGTTTCGCGCGCGCGCGCGCGCGCGTACGCATACGCGCGACCGTGTCGCACGCACACGGGTCGCCGTCATCGCCGCAGCGGGCCGACCTGTCAATCGGCCGTCCCGTGAATCATCTCTATTTCGGGAGACACCCGCTGGACCGGCCAGTACCGCCGTGCCGTGCGCGCACGGCACCGACGTCGAGGTCGCGCGCCTAGTCCCCTTTGAGGTTAGCTCCGCTCGGCGGATTATTTACCGGAGCCGACGGCGGGTCCTCGTCGAGGGACGCGCCGTCACGGGGACCGCGCGAGGCGGGGACCGTCGCGGAAGGGAAGCTCGCGCGGCCGGGCGTCCGCGACGCGGGACAAAACACGCGGGAACGGGGAGAATCGAGAGGGCCGGACGACGGTCGATCGGTCGGTCGGTCGGTCGGTCGGCGAGGAGGAGCAGGAGCAGCAGCAGCAGCAGCAGCACGCCCATTCCGTGCCGTCGGGAAACGCGAACGGGAAAATCAATATTCGGCGGCCGCGTGGCCGCGCGGTTTAATCGCTCGCCGGGCGAATTCGGGGCCGGGCGCGTCGCGCCGCTACTCACCGCGAGGAATATCCATAGATGCGCGCCGGTGCCGTCTCCCGTCCGACGAAATCAATTTATCACTTCGGGGCACACAGGCACTACGTCCGACAACACTCTCGCGACTCCGCCGTTCCCGGTTCCGCCGTTCCGCTCGTCCAGCGGCGGCGGTAGCGGCGGCGGCGGCAGCGACGACGGCAGCGGCGGCCCAGGGCCGGGCCGAGGCGTGGAAACGCGGGGGCGCCGCGGCGCCCCTTCCCCAAGGAGAAATGAAAAGTCAAGATGACGTCGGTTTCATGCCACACTGACCAAAATATGACGTAAATTTGGTCAATATGGCCATCGGATTGACGTCATCTGGATTTTCATTTCTCCTTGGGTCCCTTCGCTGGAGATCCGATGATAAGGGCGGGCGAAAAGATGCGAGCCGCCGCCGCGCCGGCCGAGCGTGGAAAAGGCAAACCTAGGCGCGCAAAAAGGGACTCTACGTTAATCTGGTTGAGATATTCCTGGACGCTCGACGGGACGTCGGGTGTATTCGAGTTCAATTCCGACGTTCGATGTCGGAAAATCGCTATTCCTTCCGCGCGCCTCGGAAAAACCACGATTTCTCTGTGCCGACTCGCGCGTCCCCCGCGGCCTCGCGCGTTTCTCGATAAAGCGACGAATAAGGATACGTTTCCGCTTTCGACTCCAGGGGCTCGAGCACGAATCTGTTTTTCTAGCGCGAGCTCGCGAAAAGGTTCAGTAACGAATTTCAACGTTTGTCAATGAAAATTTTCACTTTTCACGAGTTGACGTTTGAGGAGAAGATTCACGATTGAGTCTCTCCGGTCGTTTTCCTCGCGTCGAATCGAATGGGCTGGGTTTATTGAGTTCCCTATCTTCTGCAGGAGAAAAAAAAACGAGAAAGAGAAACAATTACGCTCGGGGCGTTCGTGCGACGCGAGTTGCGCACGCGGGGGAGAAGAATCTCGCCGATCGCACGCGTGTGGCGTCGTGCGCGACGCGCACAGCCCTACGGTCCCGATGCAAATAACCGAACCAAACAAACCGCGCGTCTGTCTAAAAATATACCGCCCCCAAAATCCATAACCGCGGGAAAGCGGGACCGTTGTTCTAAGTATACGAGGACGCCGACGACGGACCCGTCCGGCGGCGCCGCGCGGTGGCGTTGAACAATCCGACACCGCGCTTGTCCTTCCGCAAAAAATAACGATTACGCCGCGAGCGTGTCGCAATCTCGCGACAAGCCTCGCCGCCGACGAATTCCCATGTTGAATTCCTCTCTCGTTCGTCTCGTTCACAGTTGTAAATTCTTTCCCTCTCTCTCTCTTTCTGCTTTATCTCCCCCCCCTCTCTCTCTCTCTCTCTCGATAAATAAAACGTTGATCTTGCGGGTGCAACGTTCTGCGTTATTAATACGACCGCGGCGCACACCGGCGCGAGTAAAAAAAAAGCGCCGGGTCTCGCGTCCACTTCTATCAGCGCAGATCAACTTTAATCTCGGTTTAATTTACCTCCTATCCTCCTCCAGGTTCCCGGAACCAGAGAAAGATAGCAAAGTTAAACGGGGATTAAAGTTAATCCACACCGGTGGTAGTGGACATTAGACGCGGCCGCGGCGCCCCGGTGGGTGCTGCAACTCCGGGCCCCGCGCTCCGTCCCGCACGCGCGGCTGGTTAAAAACGCCAAACTTCCACCGAGCAAGTGTCCGAGGAGCGGGAGAGCGAGAGGCCGCACCAAATTTGGTCATGCCGGCCTCCTTTCAGGGAGAGAAAGAGCGAGCGAGACGTAGGACGTAGGCTCTCTCTCTCTCTCTCTCTCTTATTCACGTAATACGTGGTGCGCTACGTAATCGCGTTAAGCCCGTGTCGCACTACGTATCGCGGATCGCGGATTGGAGGCCTTGTTTACACCGATGGTTTGATACGCGTATCAAATAGTAAATAACTAGTAGAATGAGTTTAGCCATAGGCTGCGTTCAGCAGAAAAAGCTGCTTCGCAAAACTGTTGTAAAATTCGTGAATCTGATTGGCGTATTCTCTTAATCTTGAGTGAATTTAAGAGCATACGCCAATCAGATTCACGAATTTTACAACAGTTGCAAAGCAGCTTTTTCTGCTGAATGTAGCCATTGGCTGATCGGCTGAAATACACTGTTTGATACGCGTATCAAACGATCGGTGTAAACTAGGCTTGAGATTGCGAATCGCGGAACACGTTTCAACCAATCAGACGAGCCTGCCTCGGATCCGATTGGCTGAATTGCGATCCGCGGTCCGCAATCTCTATTCAATCCGTGATCCGCGATATACGTGGTGTGACACAGGCTTTATTGCACGCCGCGCTCTCCGCGTATCTTATCGCGAGACGCGGCAGCGCACGACTCTCGGTTCCCTCAGCGCCGGGAAAATGCGCGCGTACTTAGCGATTTACAGATTTTGCGCGGCGTATCGATCGCCCGGGTCGACCGAAAATTAATTCCCCGGATAGTTTGCGCGACGCGGAAGGAAAAAGGAAAGGGCGCGCGATCGAGGGGAGGAATTCTTCCGCGGAAAACTTGCTCCGGGAAAGACGCCCGCGCTCTTATCGGCGCATATTTGTACTCTTTTTTTTCTTTCTCTCTCCCTCTTCTTCCCACTGTTCGCAGATTGTTTCGGCGAAACTGAAACTGGAGCCGGTGCGACTGTTATTTTTTATCCCGAGCGCTGTTACGCAAAACGATGACGGACGAACTGACGCGTTATCAGTTCGAGGGAGTTATCTCGCGGAAGTGGCCGTGCATTTCCTTCTCTCGTTTCGCGGATGGAAAAGCCTCGGTTGTCTAATCGTTCCCGCGTATCGCGAATACGGACGTGACCATCGACAGCAATAACATAGTGTAACTAGCAGGTCCATTCAGTCATTTGTTTCGTTTTGCGTCGATCCGTTCTGCGCATCCGACATTGTTCCGGGTGGACCAATGAGAGAAAAGTTGTATGTATGGTAGTGTAGCTTTGATACACTACCGTGCATAAAGTGCGGTGCATTAATTCACTTCGGATCGTATTGTCAAAAAGTATCTATGTTTAATTAGTCGAGTAATGTTTGTCCATCCCTAATTATTACCCGCGCCGAATTAATGCACCGTACAGTACATCCATACAGCACAGAAAGTTAAAATAATGTTACTAAAACGTTGCAATGTTGAAGAATTAATAACTTTCTACGTTGAAACTAGGTTAATGTTTGTAAATTGATTCTTTATGTTGCTGCAACGTTAAAACAATCTTGAACAAATAATAATTTTTGACACTCAAATAGAAACTTAAAAATGTACAATTATGTAATGTATGTATATGTATAATATTTTTGCAACGGTCAGCAATTTTCTAAGCTAAGATTGGATTATTATTTTTTTAGTGGATAATAATTCAATTTCAGCACTTCCAACAGTTGTAAAAAATATTCTGCTAAACGCGACCAATGTTAACTCAATAATTTAACAATGTTTTCTGAATGTTGAACTGTAACGTTTACAAGACATTACAATTCAGCGAACTTTAAACGGTTTTGCAATATCTTTTCAACGTTGAATCTACACTTCGTAACATTGATGCAATATTGCAATGTTGTAATGGAACGTTTCTGAGATGTTGACTCAACATTTGTGTGCTGTATGGGTATACTATGGTAATAACAGCAGTTTCGATCATTTTCACATTAATAGCGAGTATTTCTTTTTGAAGACACTTAGAAAAAACATAGCCAAACGTGTGGCAATGCGCTCGAGACGTGTATTAACTATATGCGAATGCGAATCGAATCGACGTCAAAAATCTTCGATTCGCACGTCTCTGCAATTACGCCAAAGAGCATACGAGGGGAAAGGAGATAAGTAGCTTCGCGAAACTGCAAGAATCTCAATTCTCTCTCTCGCTAAATCGATTAAGTCTTCCAATTGTGACGGCCGGCCTCTCTCGCGAGAATTAAGGCGGATCAAGGCGAGCGCGCGCACGTGTTTATCTCGGCGCTGCCGCGGACTTCATTTGCATCCGCCGGGAAACGTTTCTCGCTTCGCGGAACGTGCGCGCGATCGAAGCGACGGGTACGTCACGACGTAACGGCGCGGACGAGCCGCCGGACGCTAAAAAAGGCGAAAAGAAATGCAACGGGCGGCTCGTTACCGATGCTCGGCGGCCCACGGTTAGCGTAATTCGCCCGCTCGCGGCACATTCCGCGCGTGCCTGCCGCGTCGGCGTCGAAACAAGGCTGGGCTCGCCCCCTTCGACGTGTCGTTTCCCTCTCGCGTGGGCGACCCCTTTCGACTCGATCCTCTCTGTGCACCTGACCGGCCGGTAGGCGTTTTACGAGCGCGCTAAGCGCATTCGCGTACGCTTAATTCCTTTCCGGGAATATTTCCGAAAGTGGGACACTTCGCTGGCGCGCGCGATCTCGACCGTCGATTGACTTGTCAAATAATATCCGCGGCACTGTCGTTAGAATTAGGTATCAATTTTTCCCCGGTCGTGAATTGAGGACGTTCAGTTGTGTAGGAGAAATTGCCTCGCGAGCAGCTTCATTGGAACTGTATTAATCGACCATTAATTGCGTTAATTCGAAACAATCACCCACTCGGCGTACCAAAGTACCCAGCGAGAAATGACTCGTCGATTGATGTCGAAACGATGCCGAATCGGCGTCGACACCTTCAAATTGATGCCGAATCGACGTCAATTTGACGGCGTTGATGTCGATTCGACATCGTCTCGACGAATCATTTCTCACTGAGTAAAACTTCAAGTAGAAATAGAATATGACGTAACAAAATAAGATATAATAGCGAGCAAGGTGTAATGTAACGATGTCAGACGCGCTCTCAAATGATTAATTCGATTACCGATCGAAGCAGATTAGTTGGCACGGCTTGGACGTTTCAGAGCGCGCGCTAAGACATCCCAATTTTCCGAGAGTCAAAACACCGGAAGTGGGAGCAGCCCACTCGCTAAAATAGGACAAGGGACGAAATGATATGCGTGACACACATATCTATATACGGGACGCGCGATAAATTTCCTTTATCGCGCGATCTCGCTGCCAGGAAAGCTACGACGCGCTGAGATGAATCTGGACGATCGCCAGAGTCCGCGTTTTATACTCCAATTGTCATCCGTTTACGGA